CCCTCTTTCCTCTCTCTCCCCTATTTCTCTCTGCTGAGTTGGCTGCTCCGGCCACTAGGGAGTCTCAGTCCATCACGCCTCTCATCACCAGTGTCTAAGGTAGCCTTGCTCTCCATATCACGACCTCCCTAGCTCTCAATTTGAGTAGCCCATGTGGACAACGCTTGGAGGAGCATCGATGAGAGCCTTAACCACGGTGAGGAGGGGTCTTCTCATGCTAAAGTGCCTGCTCCCTTACCATTATTTCGTCGAACGCCTTCCCGACTAGCAGCTTCTACAGGGTTCATCCTCATGAGCGCATGTGCGTTCTGCGAGATGTCATCATTGTCAAATACACAGCGTGATGCCCCGAGTGCCGTGGGGTGAGTCCCAAAGCGAAGCTGCTCTATGTTGAATCGGAGCGGAGGTCGCGGATATATAGTGCGGTGATGACATGTCGGCATTGGAGGACTAGTTGCTGCGGTGGAATAGATCGATCCGTTTAGGCCTTCGGGTGAAACATATTAAAACACTAACAGTGTGTGTCGTCTGCATAGGAAAATGCAACCAAAAATCTAATCCAATGATATTTTGGATTACAAGTTATTCCCTCCGTCCAAAAAAAACTCATCTTAGGAGGTGTCGCAACGAGTCTGGACAATATTTTGTCCATATTATTTTTGTTAGGAGGGGATGTTGAGTTGTTTTTTAATGGAGGGAGTACATATTACATATTTGTTAATTGATTTATATTTATGAGTTTCTAGCAAATTGTATCCTTGAGCTTGGTAGAGAAAACATTAGTAAAGATTATACTATTCAGTTGCACCTATTTTCATTGTGGTACAGTCAACACGTATGTTGTGTTATTTCTGAAACTACGGCAGGAAGCAGTTGAACAACCCCGATATGTGAGAGTTGTTTTTCATCAACTCTCATTCTATTATTTAAAAATATTCAACTCTAATATATATGTGAGTTTTATGAAAAAAAAGGAACCAATTTATCATTATTACCCCTCCGTTTCATATTATAAAATATTTTAAATTTGGTCAAAATCAAACTGTTTTAAGTTCAATCAAATTTATAGAAAAAGTAGTAACGTATTATAATTTAAAACATTTTAGATTTGGGGCATAATATCTACTCAGAAACTACTTGCACAAAGATCAGTTTTAAGTTTTAACAAGAAGCTTAGTCTAGAGGTGTCCAAACGGGCGGCACGGCCCGGCCCGACACGGGCACGGGTCCGGCACGGCCCGTTTCGGCACGGCCCGTTAGGCACGGCTGATGAAACGGGCCGTGCCGTGCCGGCCCACGTGCCGAGCCGCCGGCCTAAGCACGGCCCGTGGATGGCCGGGCCGTGCCCGTGCCGGCACGGCACGCCTGCGGCCCACGGGCCGTTCGGGGCACGGCGGCCCGTGAAGGCAGGCCGGCAGCTGAGCTGCACTGGCCGCCAGGCCGCCAGGCCGCCAGCCGCCAGGCTGCCAGTGCACAGTGTTTTTTTTTAAAAAAAGCAAAGGAAATGTATAAGGAAAAAAAAATTAAAAATGGAAATAAAATGTTTAAAAAAAGTAATGATTTACTAATGTTAAAAAATGAAAAAATGGTATTTAAAAAATGGAAATAAAAGTTTTTTAAAAAAGTAATGATTTGCTAATGTTAAAAAAAAGAAAAAATGGTATTTTTTTGTTGTGTTGAAAAATTTAAAAATATAGATTGTGATTCATTATTTTGAAATAATTTAAAGATAAATCCACACTTGCGAAAATATTGCAAAAGAATTTGTTAAAAATAGTAATGACCTTTATTGATGTTTATATCATTACAGGATACAATGATACATGCTGCCTCGTTAAAAACTTTGTCATGTAAAAACTCATAGGGGAAAATGAGAAAGCCATGACAAAGAAAAGAGTACAGCTCAAAGGTCAGAATTACTTCTAACAAAATTCTACTGGGGTTGGTCTGGATCCAGGTAGAGTTGCTCGAACTGGGCGGCCAATTCTTGGTTGTCCGCAGTGTATTGGGCATGTTGTCGAGCAAGCTCCCAGTCTTTAACGCTTAGTAGCATTTCGACGTGGTCGCTGCGCAGAGTCGTCCTCCGGTCTTCGATGATTCGGCCGCATAGACTGAAGGCCGATTCGGAGGACACCGTCGACACGGGCACCGTCAACACATCCCGTGCTAGTTTTGAAAGCACAGGATATGTTATCTTGTGGTCATTCCACCACCCGAGGACGTTGAAATCTTGTGCTTCGTGGTGGATGGCGTCGCTGTCCAAATAACCGGACAACTCTTCGGCCACAACATGCGAAGAGGCGTCTCCACTTGTAGCCGACGAACTGCCACCACCTTGGATTGAAGACGATCCACCCCAAATCCTACCCCACTGTATCTTCTTCTTACCTGTAGTGGGGATAGGAGGGGGTCTCTGCTGGCGAACTTCCTGAAACTTTACTTCATATCTTCCAAAAACCTCATATAATTTACGTCTAACCTCAGTATAAAAAGAACTATAATCTACACCTATAGTATCTCCAACAAGTGATAAAATAGCAGACAATCCCCTTAATTTACACCTAGGATCTAAAACAAAAGCAAAAGCATACAACATAGGTATATTTTTCCAATATTTCAAATATTTTTGTTTCATGTGAAAGACAGGTTCAGTTAGAACGTCATCATTTTCGTATTCTTTAAATAAAGTAGCAATTTCAAGAAGGTTGTGCAAAATTATATTAGCAGTTGGATAATAAACTTGTGACAAAGTTAGAGTACAATCATAAAAAGTTTTTAGAAATTGGTGAAATTTTTGGACAATTGCCCAAACATGCTCGTTCAGTACTGAAGACCCGTCACTGTTTCTTGGGCCACCACGTGACTGGACAAAATCAGAAAGTAAACTACTATAAGGTAAAACAACTTTTAACATTAAATACGTTGCATTCCACCGATGCTCTGCATCGGTGGCAAACTTACGAGCTTTCACACCGGCCGCATTGCAAAACCTCTTCCATGCAGCAATCCGCGGGTTAGAAGCAGTTAACCACGCGATTGCTTGACGAACAGCATCGATGTGGTCACCTACCCTCTTCATGCCAGTCTTAACAATCAAATTAATTATATGACATGCACAACGCTGATGGAGTAGAAAAGATTGAGCATACACACAAAATAAAGGTTGCAATATTTCAATAGCCCTAGAATTAGCAGATGCATTATCTAGGGTGACAGCAAATATTTTATCAGCAAGATTAAATTCATTAATTACTTCCCTAATTCTTTCAGCTATGTTTTCTCCTGTATGTGAGACATCTATTAACCTAAGCCCTAAAACTCTCTTTTGTAATTGCCAATCATCATCAACAAAATGAACAACTACGCTAAGATAATCCTCTCTAGCTCTACTACTCCATATATCTGAAGTAACACTAACAGAGAAAGTACATGTACTAAACAGTTCCTTAAGTGCAGTTGCTTCCTTGTGATAAACATTCTCTAAATCTCTAGTTGATGTTTGCCTACTCACAGCTTTAAACCTAGGGTTATGAGATTGCTGAATGTAATGTTCAAAAGCAGGGGACTCCCCAAAGTTCAGGGGTAAATCTTGCCTGGCGATTAACCGGACAAGAGATTCCCGAGCAACCATGGGATCGTACTCCCAACTGCGTACCGTACCGTCTGGGTTTACCATAAGTTGCTGCTGCCGGAGTTGTATTCCTTGCTTCTTGGCACACGACTCCGCATGGCGCTTGAGGTGACCTGTACCACCAGAAGAACGAGCAGATAAAATTTGCCTACATATTCTACAACGGGCTTTCGATACCTCCCTTCCGTCGGGGCATGTTTCCTTTATCTCGTCGAAGTTTTGCCACACACCGGAGGTTCTCGATCTCTTCGAGCCGGTGTGTGTCGAAACACTTCCGCTCGCGGTTCCGGAAAATCCTTCCGAAGCTGTCGCCGCCTGAACCGGTACCTCCTCAACGACAGCCGTATGAACCGGTACCTCCTCCACAGATGGTGGAGTTGGAGCCGATCCGGAGGTATCGTCAAACCCCGACATGTAGTTGGGGTCGAAATCACCCAAGGTGAACGACGGCGACTGGTATGGAAAGTTCGGATCCATTCTGAAAATTTAAACCGACATAAACAAATTTTCGAATATTTATTGAATTCACAAACACAATACAAATAATACACAAATTTGAATATTACTTACATCTTTCCAACCGCGAGCTCTTCAAACCTCTGCGATCAAACTGTTGAACTACGAAACTAATTTTGATTTTTGACAAAATTTGAGCAAATTTTGTCAAAATCAAAAAAAATGCACACTTGAGAACAAAGAGAGCACTTAAAACACTTGAGAGCACAAGATGAGGAGTGTGGGATGAGGAGAAATGGCTGGGGTTCATGCCCTATTTATAGGGCGAAATTTGAGATTTTTTTGGAATTTTTTCGAAATTTTTATGAATTTTTTAGCCTCCCAACGGTTATTTTCAAATTTGAACGGTCAAATAGCCGTTAGTGCCACGTGGCGCCTTCCCATTCGACCGCCGCCCGCCCTGTCCCTGCTTTCGGCCTGGCGCGTGCGCCGCTGGCCCGCTTTCGGCCTGACGGGCCGCCGGCGAAACGGGCCGTGCCGTGCCGCGGGCCGTGCCGCTACAGTAGCCGTGCCGTGCCGTGCCGGCCCGCGGGCTCGGCCAGCGGCCCAAGCACGGCACGGCTACTCGTGCCGTGCCGGCACGGCCCGTTACTGTAGCAGGCCGTGCCGGGCCGTGCCTGCTACAGGTTCGGCCGTGCCCCGGGCCGCCCGTTTGGCCCGGCCCGTTTGGCCACCTCTAAAGCTTACGCACAAGATCGGCTCAAAAAATATCTTACAATGACATGTGGGTCCACGTCCTCGTGAGGAGTCGTTACTCGTAAGCTTCGTTGCCTCTCTCTCCTCGCCGTCGTTAGTAATCTCCGCCGCTTTCGCCGACTTCACCGGCGCGCCGCCCGGGAAGATCGCCACCGCCATGGGACGCCGGAAGAACAAGCGAAGGATTTCCCGGCACAGGGGCGACGCCACGGCGTCGGCGCCGGCACCGACCAATGCGGACTGGGAGGACGCGACCGCCGCCTTCCGCGAGGAGGCGGAGGCCGCCCTGCGCTCCCTGTCCATCGGCGAAGACGACGGCGCCGCGGCGGAGCGCCTCGCCGCGCGCCACGGGGGCTCCCCACTCGCGCACCACGTCGTCGGCCACGCGCGCGCCGCGCTCGCGCGGGCAGGGGACGCGGTCGCGCCGCTCCGCCGCGCGGCGGGGCTCGCGCCGGGGTGCCCCGAGATCGCCGCCGCCCTCGCCGCCGCGCTCCTCTACGCGCGCCGGCCCGGCGAGGCCCTTGCGGAGTGCGCGCGCGCGCTCGCCGTGGGCGCCCCCACCGACCCGGCCCTCCACGCCGTGTCCGGCCGCGGCCTCATGGCCGCGACCCCGCAGTGCCGCGTCGCCGTCGCGCGGGAGCGGCTCCGCGGCGTGCGCGCCGACGCGGAGGCCCTAACGGGGGTCTCCCACCGCGCCACCGTCCCGCCGCCGCCGTCCCGCTCGCGCCGGAGCGCGTTGCCCGACACCGACGACGAGGTCTGGAGCTTCCTCACGGTGAGAGTGGAGGACTTGACGGCGCACTGCGCCAAGATTGGGAGCTCCGCCGGTGCGCTCGCCGTCGCCGACGCTGTGGAGTTTGTGAAGGCCACCAACGCGTGGGTGTACTGGCTGTGCCCCGTCTGCGACGAGGTTTTCTTGGATTCCAACTCGTTCCAATCACACGTCGAGAGCGAGTACATTCACCAGCTCCAGCAATGGCTGCCATTGACGCAGCCATCGACCACCATGAAACCAACCTCCAAGGATTCCTCATGGTGGAAGCCAATTGGAGCACAAGAAGAAGAAGAAGAAATAGCCAGGATAAGGGAGGCATTTTCGATTGTTAATGGATCTGAAGTCTCCTATCTTGGCTGTGTGGCATTTTCGATTCTTGATGGACCTGAAATCCCCTCTATTGACCCTATGGTATTTTCATCTCTTGATGAACCTGAGGTCTCCTCTGTTGAACCTGTGAGCAACGAGGTCAAGTTTAAGAAAGGCAGGCGCCGCAGGCTCAAGAAGTGGGACGCCTGGTTGGATCATTGCCGGGAGATTGAGAGAGACTGCCCATCGTGGGAGGAGCTTCTTCTACCTCTCTGCAGAGAAATGCCTGAATTGTGGGAATATTTGGAAAGTTGTGTTGAAACAGAAGGGAATGAGGATAGTTTTCCATTAATTTCTCTTGTTCAAGGCAGTAGTGTTTTATTTCTTGATAGTCAGAAGATCGCTCCAATAAACATGGATGGTTCTTTTAATGTGGATGCACTGTTTAATTGGCTGCTCCGTGGAAGTTCGCCGCAAAAGCCAGTGCCGTCATGGACCAGCATAAGGAAGAGGTGTGTTCATGATGGAAATGAAGTCCTTAAAAGGATTGGTGAGATATCAGATTTATTGCAGGAGCAATTTGGTCTGAAAGACCATTCAGACGGAACAATGCATGGTGATTTCTTCACTACAAAGGTATCCACTTTGCATTTTATTGCTAACTTTGTTTCCACGTTTAGCTTTCTGTGGTACTGGTATGCAAGCATTTAGACACATTCTTATAGTAAAACGATGATAAAAGTTATATATCTTACATAACGAGTCAAACATTGGTTGAAGTATCATTTTGAAGAATCTGAAGATTTTTTCCTACTCCGCTCGGTCGCTCCGCCCCAGGGGCGACGCGAGCGGCGAAACCCGCCGCCGCCCCACCCTTCCCCTCCTCCCCCCGCCTCGCCGCCGCTCGAGCAGCCGCCGGCAAAGCCGGGCAGCTGCAAAGACGGCGGCGGCGGGGCTCCCCATCTCCCTCACTCCATGGTCAACGCAGTTGGGGCACCGACGAGATCGGAGGCAGGAGCACGGCACCGGCGACGACGTTCGGATCCGGCGCCGGTGAGCTCGGATCCGGCCCTCGCTTGGCGGCAGCGAGCCTACGAGGGGCTGGCGGGATGGTGGCGGCGTCGGCGCGAGCTACGCGACGACGAGGCCGGGCGGCGGCGACGGCGACGAGCCCAGGCCAGCGCGTGGTGAGCTCGGATCCGGCCCTCCATTGGCCGGATCTGGTACTTCCACCGGCGGCGGCGAGCCGACGAGGGGCTGGCGAAGCGGCGGCGGGCGGCGGCCCTCGGTCCCGACCAGCGACGTCGAGGCCGGGCGGCGGCGTCGACGGGCTTCTTCGGCGCGGGCTCGTCGGCGACGACGGCTGCTCCGGCGGTGGCTGCCGCGGACCTGGCCGGGGGCTGCCGACCTGCTGCGGTCTGCCGGTGGCAAGGACGGCGCCTTCATCTCCCTCCCTCCTTTCCCTCCAGATCTGGTTCTCCTCTTCTTCAGTTGTTCTTCTTCCAGTGCTCTCCGGCGGTGCGGCGCCCGCTCCCCTCTTCTTAGGTGCTCCTCCCTTCTTAGGCTAGGCTGCTTCCAGTCGTTGCCGGGGAGCTCTTTGGTGTGGTAGGGGTGGCGTGCGGAGTTGGTTTCCGGCGTTCTCTCTCGCTGTTCGTCGGCCACGTCGTAGGTTTGCTGCAGTTGGGTTCCTGTGTGTGAGGTGGTTTCTAGTCGAGCTGCATTGTGATTAACTGTTGAGGCAGAGTCGGAGCTGCTTGTCTTGCAAGCTCGGCAACGATGACCCTCAACAGATGTCCTGGCAACGCGACGAGGGTTGGGAGGTGGAGCATTTTTGAGAGAGTCTCGGGTGAAAACCTTGCCTAGTGCTTTCCTAGGCTGATGATATCGACGCCTGTGGGTGCCGTTTCCTCCTTGGAGGTATTGTCATGGTGGCCCTCTCTCTCTTCAGGTGAAAACCGGGTTTCATTTGGGAACGGGCGTTGACAACATTCTTAATGTTGTTTCCCTTGTTGAAGGCTTCGCTCATAAGGTTTCTGCTCTACTAGAGGATGTTGGGTGGTTCTGGAGACCTCGTGCATTTTGTTGTTTGAAGCTGCTTGCCTCTGGCAAGCTCGGCAACGACGACTTGTGTGAGGTCTCATTAGTTGCTTTCTTTTCCTTTTCTGTATAGGTTTTTGCCGGTTTCCCGTTTAATTAACCGTGCTTGTTCGGTTTTTGGGCCCGGTTTCCCTTATTAACTGGGCCAATTCTCTTCTTCTATAAATTCCGACAGGAGAAACTCCTGTCGTCGGTTCCTCGAAAAAAAAAAACATTGGTTGAAGTTATATAATTTAAATACCACGATGAGCAAGAAAAAATCTTATATTTTGAAACAGTGAGAATTATTTTATTTTTCCTCAGTATCGTTGTAAAGAGTAGTTTACTGTGTAAATAATGGCTATCGAATTTGCAGGTCAATTCAATTGATGTTGAGATCTCGCATATGTTTGCTGAAGTTAGCTTTTTACGGAAAAAACTTGTGAAAGTCTGTACATTTGATTACAGAATAGTTATTTTGCCTTTTATAAAGGACTATCTATGGGTTAGTATAATCTTTTTATCAATACGTAATCTTTTTATCAATACATTTTTAATTACTATTACATGATTTCTTATAAGACCTGCTTCACAGGCTAAGCTGAATAATGGCTCTCCTGGAAAAGAGTTGCATGATATGGATGATATATATGAGGAATATGTTGTCCAAGAGAAGAGTCAAGGCACTGATTCAGATTTGGATCATCAGATTAGCAGGACAGAGGAATTTGAAAATTCCTCGCTGTCATTTTCAGGTTAACATCTGTCTTAGTTTATCTTATTATTTCTGACAACTTTGGTTTAGAAATCCATGGAGCAAAGAAGATGAATAGCCTTGCATTTTGCAATACCATGTGGCATATTATCTCTGTTCTCAAAGAGTTGGCCAGGAGCTGTGGCATTCATCGGGCACTTATGCCAGTTCTATGAATTGAATTTGGGCAGGGTGGCAAATTTTAAAAATATGATACAAGACATGCAATAGCTGTGGGCAGGCTTTAATTCGTGCTTTCTCGAGCCTCAAGTAGCTACATTGCCATTTTGACAGACACAATCAGTAGTTCAGTAGGACTGTGCAAGTCATATGTCCTCTTGGTCTTTTCTAGTCAAAATGAGATTTTATGTTACTATTTTTCTCAACATGATGAACTTATTCTTATATCTAACTGACAGTTTCATGAACAGATAGCTCAGACCTTTCTACCTTGGAAACTGAAAGCACTTCATTCAACAGTGGGATTGGTACCGTACATCAAATTACTACTGATGAACTGTCCTTGAATGTGACTCTCCGGGTAGTACTTTATTTCTACTCTTCTAAACTTCTATATTTAACTGCTATTTGTTGCTTCAAATATGTCCTAAATATTCATGTAGGCATTGTGGCATTTGAGACGAATCCACATCTTCCGGCAGATACCACATACTCTTCATCATTTATCAGTCAGAGACCACTGCGTTGTGTGTCTATTATGCGAAATATTCTATGCTCGGGATCACAATGAAAACCACACAGCAGCCATCCTTTTGGGTAATGCGAGAACTGCTTTTAGTGACATTTTAAATGATAGAAACTTTGACTACAAGGTTTGTTGCTTTCACATTTTACTGCTTAACTATCCTTTTCCTGACAGGAGGTCTAGAAGAGAGTAACCAGAAAAAAACGTTTTTTTTTTATCTGAAGCGACTTAAATGATTAAAATGATGCTTTGGGGACCATATAGTCTGGCAGTAGCTATGGATATATTCTTTTTTGCGCTGTTTCTTATTCTGCTTATAGCTGACCAGTTTAACGGACCTTTTGGGTTGTAGGAAAATAAGAACATTGCATCTGAAATTATATCAATAATCATTGAGATACTACACATGTCGCAAAAGCATTATTCTTTTGAAACTTTCGAGCCCGTTGAAATAAGCCCATCAAGATGTTTTGGTTATTGCGTACCACATCAAGTCCTTGGTATGTACTTCAAACAAAAGAAATGCAACTGCGTGAACAAACCAGGTGGAGAAAATGATTTCATTGCCATTTTTCACACTGTTGATGTGGGTGCAGTTCAAAAAACTGAGGTACCTATTTTTGCTTTGCACATTGTTGTGCTCGATTTTGTTAGTAATTAAGTTGACATCTGGGCTGCCTCTAATTCAGATGAAGTCTTTTGGTGATATCCTGAAAGCTGCAGAACTTGATGTGGAGAGCTGCCGATGTGGAAACAAGACTGAGGGTTCTCTTTTATTTCCACCTCATATTTTCACTATTGGTAGAGTTCTTCCACAACTTACGATGCAATGTTAATATGCTGACATGTTCTTTAGCACTTTATGTGGGAAAACTAGAAGAACACATAAGCAATAAAATATATAAGACTCTTATATTTGTTACACCATTAAACCCAATTTAGTCCATGGTAAAATGAAGCTAATGTATAATCATCGCACACGTACAAACATTGCAGTTCCACCATAACATGCATTAACTGTATTAACCTAATAATTTCTTAACGAACTTACTAGTTATCTATACATTAATTTGCATTCATTACTGCATTCCTGCAGTTTTTAGCTGGCCAACTGAGAAGGAAAACTACGTGGACATGTCTGAAGTACTGATAAACATTGCAGCTCCATTAGATATTATACATACTGTTTACGAAGTGGATATCAAAAGGATGTACAGTTTGATTACAGTGGTATGTGCTTGTGTCTAAAGTGCTGACAAACATTGCAGCTTCTACATCTCTATTAATTTTTCACATATATTCTTGAATTATTCTGCTCATGAGCATCAGAGCATGAGCCTACCTAATTTTGATCCCTCCATATATATGATGGTTTTAGTTTTGTTTGAAGAAGAGTGATGAAATAATTGAGTGCATAAGCTTTGCATGGTTGTCATAATTGTCTTGAATTTGTATACCTCTGACATTTTTATGATAAATCATGGTAATCTCTATGAAGGTATTAACTACTCCCTCCGTCTTAAAAAAATCCCTCCTAGGACAACTAATCTGGACAAAGACACCCTCCTTGGTTGAGGTTTTTTTGGAACGGAGGGAGTACTAGACATGACAAAGTTCTGACAGACAAATAATCTTGTCAGGTATGTTGTGTCGATGACGAACATGTCTGCTTTGCTCGTGGAGAGGGAAAATGGATCATATACGAAAGCCAGACAGTCGAGGCATGAAATTCTTGATAAATAATTTTACTAAGATCTGCAATTATGTTTCCATATTGTTCCTTTTATTGATCAGTTTGTGCATGCAGGTTGCGGATTGCTGGGAAAGTTTGCTCCAACGTTATCACGGAAGAATCCTCCGGCCCCAAATCCTTTTCTTCGAGATGTTGTGAGTCCATGAATGAATCCTATAGGATTTAAACCTTTGTGTGCATTATTATTATTATTTTATTTGTAAAAAACGGAGTCAATATCATGTACCCAAGTTATATGTATATATACATTTGCCTGGTCCTCTAGAAGTTTTAGTCTGTAAACTTTTGATATTTTTTTTGTTAGTCGGTGAAACGTGGATGATACATAACTTGGGACATTGGGAGTAAATTAATTTTGCATGTATGAAATTCTTGGTTTATCTTACTTTAGAAAATTCTCATGCCTGGGCACTGGGCAGGGCGTGAAAACATTGGCAAATTAAGGTCGTGACTGGAAATCGGTGCCAATGGCCAGCTCTCAGAAAGGAATGGATTGGTCGGATCATGCCATCATGTCCAGATCTGGGCTGTTGAGAGTGCATCAAGATTCGTGTTAGGCATTACAGGAACATCCTACTGTATGAGCTGTGGATAATTATAGTTTTTGATTTTGTGGAGTAATAATAATATATATATTTCACAAAGCTGCCGGGCCGCGCTGCGAACCCATTTTGGAAGTTGAACTTTTTAATGTTTGATTTAAAAAAATGCATGCTTATAGATACTCTTAGCTTACATTATATTATACTTTCTTTCCTACAATTGTGATTATTTGCGTCTTTGGTATCGATGCAGGAATTTATCATGTATCACGTGCGCACAAGTTTTTAAGGCCCTAATTCCATTACTGACCACGAGACCTTAACAAACACCAAAGGCTCTATTCCGAAAACAACTAGGTGAAACCCCGCGCATTGCTGCGGGAATTTAGTATGATAACAATAAAAAATAACGTGTAACATAGCTAGATAACATCAGATTAAGTAAATTAATGTGGTTTATGATAATTTAAATTTAAATAGTATGTGGTGATTCAAACGTAAAAAGTAAGGTGGTGTGACTTTATGGAAGAAGAAAAGTAGGGAGATAGTTTGGACTGTAGATTAATCATCTAAAGGCTAAAAACAATTGATGTGATATGACTTAATTAGAGGAAAAAAGGAGAAATATAATTTGTACCATAGATTAATCATTTAAGCACTAAGTGAGGATGAACTATATAAGTATATATAATATCATAAAACATAATAAAGATATACATTGAAACATTATATAAATTATGTTGGATGATAATTTAACATGTTTGTATTTGAAAAGCTCTTAAATTATAAAAACTATAAAGATATAGCATGTTTGCATGATGTTTAAATGTGATGATTGTTAGTGGATGATGATATGGCATCTTGTTAATTAGTGGATGATGATGTGACATCTTGTTAGTGGATTATGATGTGACATCTTTGCATGTTAAGCTTAAGGAGTTAGTGGGGGATAACTTTATAGTAAGATAGGATACGGCATCACTTCACCGTCCTCGGGGGCTGCTAAGCAGCGAGCACTCCCCTCCCCCTTTTAGTCTTAACTAATTATATTAGTTAATATACTTAACAAAAACGATAGTAATTAGGAAAGATTCTGAAGATTTTTTTGGGAGATTTTTTTACTAACAGATTGAAAATTTTTTAAGTTAGATTTGAAAACTTTCAATTTAAGTTTTAAATTTTAAAGTTAAATTTTAAAAACTTTCAACTCAAATTTGAAAACTTTCAACTTGAGATTTGAAAACTGTCAACTCAGATTCGAAAACTCTCAACTCGAGAATCGAGATTCAAAAACTTTCAAGTCCAAATTTTAAAACTTTCAATTTGAGATTTAAAAACTTTTAACTTAAGATTTGAAAACTTTCAACTCGAGAATCAAGTTTCAAAAACTTTCAAGTCCAAATTTGAAAAATTTCAAAACTTTCAATTTGAGATTTGAAAACTTTCAACTTGAGATTTGAAAACTTTTAACTCAGATTCGAAAACTTTCAACTCGAGAATCGAGATTCGAAAACTTTCAAGTCCAAATTTGAAAAATTTTAAAACTTTCAACTTGAGATTTTAAAATTTTTAACTCGAGATTTGAAAACTTTCAAGTCCTAATTTAAAATTTTTAAGTTAAGATTTAAAAACTTTCAACACAAAACATTTGAAAAACACGTGTTGTTGGAAGATAGAAAAAAAGCGAAAAAAAATCTAAAAAAAGAAAGCAAAAAAATTAAAAGTAATCGAAAAAAAGCGAAAAAGAAAAGGAAAAAAATCACAGAAAAAAGAAAGCGAAAAAAGAAAAGAGAAGAAACAGCGTGAAAAAAAAAGAAGATTTGCGCGCGCGCGTGCTGGGCCGTGTGGGCCGGAGTGCACGCCGGCAACGCGCGCGCGAATTAGGATTCTCGACTGTCCCCTGGCTTCACGGCCAGAAAACGACAAAAAAAACGGAGCCACACCAAAATAAAACGTGCTTTTCTGTTTCGTTTTTCTGTTAGGAGGTTTGTTCGGTTTTGATTATATTTTTTTTTGGAAAAATATCCGATGATAATAAGCATTTTTTATTTCTAGTAAAATTTATGCACTAAACTTTCTAATAATAGATATAATTTATATATAAAGTATACATATACAAAGTCTATAAAGTCTACTTATACAATATATATATATATATATATATATATATATATATATATATATATATATATATATATATATATATATATATATATATAAAGTTTACATATATAAATTCTCTCTATATAGAAAGTCTATATATATAAATTTTCCAAGGATATTATTCATTTAAATAATTTCCTGTTAGCATTTTATTATTTATGCACTAAACTTTCTAACTATGATGTAATTGTCATATAAAGTTTACATATACAAAGTTTATAATATACAAAGTTTATATATATGTATATAAAGTTCACATATATAAAGTCTTACTATATATATAATGTTTTCATGGAAATTGTTTATATAGAGAATTTCTGTTAAAAAGATATAAAAAAACTACGTATAACAAAAAGAAATATGAGAAATAAATAGAAGTGAAAAGACAAACAGAAATACTCGTTTTAGTATATGGACTTGTCTAATTCGTGTGAACCAGGACCAAATGGCTTGGCAAGATTAATTTTAATAAGTTGATGTTGATTAGGATGTGACGTGCACACGTTTTAAGTGTGCATAAGGCATGCTGCTTATAAACTTGGTCTCTACTTTGTTTTATCATTGAAATGATGAATTTCATATCTTTCTATCACTTGTATTATAGTTTGTTTTTCATATCTTCCTCTACGATCACTTTGTCCATTCTCTCTTTTTATTGAACAAATATATCTAAATAGTGTGTGTATATATATACGTACTCCCGGGCGTACATAAACATTTTCATATATATATATATATATATATATATATATATATATATATATATATATATATATATATATATAGTAAATTTGTTTGGTGCTCCATGGTGCCCGGGCACCATTGTTGAAATTGAGTATATACCCAATTCAAATGAGCATGAAACTTTTTCAGTTATTTAGGTATTAATATTAACTACTTTACTAACTAGTTGAAAGCAAGTTTGAACTGAATTTGAACTTGTTTTTGTTAGATTTTGATTCTAGGTATATAGCATCCATACATATAATTAGTTAGGTATGTAATCATGGATTGTGAAATAAAGTTAAATTTGAGTTGTTTTGTTGATAGGTATAGGTATGAATCGAATTCTTATAACTAGGTATATACTCACAATTTGAAAATTTTGAAAAATTTAAGTGATTTTGTGCATTTGAAACCATGGTGCCCGGGCACCATGGTGCCCCATATGAGTGTCTATATATATATATATATACATACATATATATATATACATACATATATATATATATACATATATACATACAAACATACATACATATATATATATACATATATATATACATACATATATATATACATATATATATATACACACACACACACACACACACACACAGATATATATATATACACATATATACATATATATATATATACATATACATACATATATACATATACACATATATATATATATACACATATATACATATATATATATATATATACATATATACATACATACATATATACATACATACATATATACATACATATATATATACATACATATATATATATATACATATATATATATATATACATATATATATAGTAAATTTGTTTGGTGCTCCATGGTGCCCGGGCACCATTGTTGAAATTGAGTATATACCCAATTCAAATGAGTATGAAACTTTTTCAATTACCTAGGTATTAACATTAACTACTTTACTAACTAGTTTAAAGCAAGTTTGAACTGAATTTGAACTTGTTTTTGTTAGATTTTGATTCTAGGTATATAGCATCCATACATATAATTAGTTAGGTATGTAATCATGGATTGTGAAATAAAGTTAAATTTGAGCTGTTTCGTTGATAAGTATAGGTATGAATCAAATTATTATAACTAGGTATATACTCACAATTTAAAAATTTTGAAAAATTTGAGTGATTTTGTGCATTAGATACCATGGTGCCCGGGCACCATGGTACCCCATATGAGTGTCCTATATATACATACATATACATACATACAGACATACATACATACATACATACATATACATACATACAGACATACATACATACATACATACATACATACATACATACATACACACACAGTATCTTAATTAGCACCTAAATCAATAAGATTAGCCATGTGATGACGTTTTGTCCATAGTTTGCAAGCACTAGACAAGTTTGCGCACCAAAACGAACGTTTTACAAGTTTCTGCAGCAGATTACACCTACCTCACAAGTTCATATACTACCACCAATACAATTTACTCTTAGATTAGTTGGAACAACGGTCGGTAGTGATGACTGTCAATAATATCAACCCCAAGCCGCTCTCGCCCCCAGCTCCATGGCGTTCGCAGTTATGGTCTCATCAATCCATGACTCGTCTTGACGGAATCGACGCCACCGATATTTTGGAGTAACACCCGCCAATGCCTTGACACTATCACGGTATTTGGCTTGCTGGGCTATTGGACACCACCTTGATCTGTTCAGAGATGCGCCGACCGTGCAGAACAGCGCACGGATGCCGGCCAGAGGCAGGACAGTATCAAGCATCTACCAAAAAATCTCTAAAATTAGTGTGCATTTGACAACTTGATAAGCATCTACCATGGTTCAAATTCAATCTACACATAAGAAAAGCTTAGATAAGAGATTTTTCCCGCTCTGTATCCATACCAGATTACCAGAACAAAAGACCAAGCGTGAGACAAGTACGAGCCGTGATTACAGTATGGGTTAGCCGTTATCTATACAAGAGTGGCTACAAAAATCGGTCTGCAATGTCGTCCAGCATGCAACTAAAAATAGAAGAGTATGGATTTCTGTCGACTATCTTAACAGTGTTCGCATCCTTTGGTGTTGAAGGGAGCTCCGTCCGCGATTTGTTCCTCTAATCAATTCCCTGCACAGATCCTTTTTAAATCAATATGCATTATGCAGTATCGGATGACTGTTTTCAGGCATGATAATAAGAACTTACTTCATATACGTTGTCATTCTGGTTCTTCCAAGGGTCTTGCCTCATAGCATCGTCAGGTGCTTCACACAACAAATATTAATCAACAATAGTCATCAAGCTAGAAGTGTCGCTACTATAGATCAGATAAATAGAAAAGTGTGATTTAGAGGGCATACCACATCCAAACTGTGACAAGTTAACCCACTGAAATAAAAGCCAACATTTAGTATCAGGCTAAGTGCATTAAATCAGTTCAACTGAAATTATATCCCGAAGAAGTTTATTAAACTAAAGGAAATCATACCATATTTCCATTCCAAAGCTCAGTGAGCCAAACTTCACTCTGATAAACTTGGTCACCCCTGTGCATTGGGCTATAGTTCTGGTAGATTACACCCTGTTCTCTCTCCTTTGGAGCATTCCACAAAACAAATCTTGTTTCCTTCACAACTTCTCTGTGCAATATTCTCAAAGACGAACAGAGCTGATACAGATTTCGAGGGAATGACCCTCTGACAATTTTGAAGGCCTTCTTCATTTTGATGGCAATCAGAGCATGGCCGGACAACCTTTTGTTCTTGTTTACAAGAGATAGAATCCATGAGCCCATTTTCAGTGTTCTTCTTGGAACATAGGATCGCAATGAAGCCTGGCCAAACCAGAAAACCGGATCAAAACGAGCAGCTTCAACAGCATACAGAATCAATACTTGGAAGTTGGCAGCAAGTTTAGTGGCATTTGATTGGTCAGGCTTGTATAACGCAATTGATCTTGTAGATCTTCTAAGTTCCCATATGCTCATTTTAATGTCCGTAATGAGTCGAGCATTCAGATAACTTCCTGTAAATGGAAGGTCATGTTTTCTATCACTCAAAATGTAATCTGGCTCATCCTTGGCTCTTGCAAACTGCAAGATCTGCACTGTTACTACATCCTCACCATCAAATGTGCATGTGATTGCACCCTCCACCCAAAATCTTTGGCCATCAATGATAAGGCCAACTTGATAATTCCTATATCTAAAGTAAAATATGAAGGTCCCATCGGATCTGGTACAGTATATCCTTCTCAAAGATGATCCGAATTCCTTCTTCACTGTGCTGCCACTATATTCCCACGAGCGCACATGCGCTATTGAAGCAACATAATTTTCTAATGAATTCTGATCTTTGCTGATATTGCATAAGACACTCGGCTGCAACAAACATTAAGATTATTTTGCTTTTATCTTCTTCTACAAAATCTAGAGTAGCATATATTTGGACAAGAATTAGAAATTCTTACTGGGACATTTTCATTAAATAAGTTCGGAGCATCTGTAGCAGCAGGAAGGTCAATAGTCAAACTCTCACGGAAGAAAGATATTTCAGTATTTGTCCAGTCAGCAACAGCAGTAGGTTCTTCAGCTTTCAACTTTTCAAATTCTTCTATAATAACTTGGCTTTTTTCATTAGAGACAGCCTTATCGTTCAGCATCTTGCATAAAACAGTATCAACTTTGTTCCTTGTGTACAAAAATAAAAGATTAGCTATTCATGCACAAGGTATTAGTTCATATAACAGAAATTGTCACCTAAAACACACTAGATGCTAAAAGACTCGAATTGTTCTGTAATTAATTGTCCTGGTAGATCAACTTTCAAAAAGAGGTTACATGAGCAAAAGATCATCAAAATATCAAACACTTATTTCCTCATATAGAAGTGTTGAGTTGCTACATTGCTAGCAGTAAGCATAAAAGATATCCTAAATACACCGGTTGTATACTCCTCCATTATTAGATTGCTTCAATAGTAAACCTCCTTTCATGTGATATTTTCTACTATACGGAAAGGATTGAAATTATAATTTGTGTTTAGTTTTGACTTCTTTTAGCATGATATGAACAGTTGAGCACCTTTTCCTTCACCATATCATCGCAACATGAGATATAACTACTCATTGGGCCAAAAGCATAACAGAAAGCTCATTCAATAAACTTCACAGAAAATCCTTAAAAACACTAAATAGAAAAAGGGAACAATAATATAGTGGAATGAGTTGCAGAAAAGCTATAGTTCAAAACAAGAACGGAATCCAGCAAATAAAAGTTACAAAGAAGCAAGATACACCCGACATAAGGATGCTTACCTTTCGTTAGCTCTTGGAGGCAACTCAAGCTTCTCGCCAGATTGCAATACCTAAAAACAGAACATTTTTCTTTGTTCAGTACTGTAAAGCATGAAACTAAACCAAACCAGTCCATGCAGTGAATGAGAAGCTAAAGCAAGACAATACTATTATTTCTTTGAAGTAAGAAAATATTGAACCATTAATTACTTTTGTCGGTGACATGGGACCGGGAGTATCATGACTTAGAGACTTGAGGCAGACACGATCACCCACGTGGCCTAACCCCCTCGGGGGGTCGGGCCCGAGGGTGATACGGCCGCCCTTCTCTTTGTCTCCCCGAGGGGTCGGACCGCTCCCGTCTCGGCCCCGAGGGCCGAGGCGCCCCGACCCCTTGTGGATTTTGCGCCGCGTGTATGGGTTAGGTGAGTGCAGCGGCGCTCACCTAACCGCATTTATTGCGGTTTGGACGAGCGCGTCACGCCGCATGTAACGCAGTGCAGCGCGCTCGTTTATCCGGTCTGTGATCAGTCACAGGCCGGTCAAATCGTGGGTTAGGTGGCGACAGGCGGTCTGACGCACGCCTCGCCCCATCCCGTCAGGACGAGAGCCTCCAAGCACTCGTCCCTAGCCGGAGCCGGCGTGTTACCTCCTGGAGATGGCACGTTGGTTCCGGTCAGATATATGCCAGGCTTCATCCTAACCATTATAAGCGAGACATTGTATGAAGAGGGGCGAACATGCAGATTGATAAACTGACGCGTGGTGGACAAGAATGACCGATTTGTGACCGGTCTGACGCTGGTCATATCGTCAGCAGACAGCCATGTTCCCACGTCGCGCCTGCTTCCGGCGGAAGTGGAGGTAGGTGTGGGCCGTCCCATCAGAAGGTCATTCAGACGGCAACCATACAAATCTCCGTCCATTTATGAAAAGAGAGGATAAGTCCCCACACAAAAAGAGAGAGATGGTGCATGTGGTATCCCCTTGAGGTATAAAAGGAGGACCTTGCCCACTTAGAAGGGGGATGATCTTTTCGGATCCCAGAACAATCGGGGGCTGGCTCGCACTTTGTAGCTTCTTCATACACAGATCCACCAAAACACAGGAGTAGGGTATTACGCTTCTCAGCGGCCCGAACCTGTATACATCGCCCGTGTCTTGTGTGTTTCCACTCTTGCGAACCTTCCACACACAGACCAGGAGCTTAGAACCTCACCCAGGGCCCCCGGCCGAACCGGCAAAGGGGGGCCTGCGCGGTCTCCCGGTGAGGAGCCCCACGCTCCGTCATCTGGCGCGCCAGGTAGGGGGCTCTGCGTGTGTTTTTCTAAGCTCTCGCATTCCTTCGTGTGCGCCAAACTTTTCCTGTTCAGCCCAATGGCCGAACAAGCAAAGGCGCACAACCTCTCTCCGAGTGTGAGCGGTGACGACGGGGAGCCGAACCCACGCCGTCGAGCTCGTACTCCACCGCCCCCTCCACGCCAAAGTCCTAGGCGGGAGGAGGCGCTCGAGAGGGTCGAAGGATCCGCGACTTCGACATCCACGGGTGATGGAGAAGGGCAGCGAGATGGGGAGCGTCGCCTCCTCGTCTACGGCGACAGCAGCACGCCCCAGGGCGCGCTCCAAGCTGCGGGCGCGCTCCTACGTCACCCGCCCATTGTCCCTGACCCGGAGTCTCCAGCCCAACGTTGGCTGGACGACGTGGCCAACTTGGTCATGACGGCACGGCAGCGCCTAGGTGCTGGTGGGCGGTCCTCCGCCACCAAGACCTCTGGCGCTGCTACCACCGGCTCCGTGTCGTCAAGGCGGAGGGCGCGGCGAGCGGCGGCTGTTGCTCGCCATTCGGCTGCCACTCCTTCGTCAGCGCCTCCGACCCAGGAAGATCTGCGTGGGGGGCCGGATGCCCGCATCAGTATCGAGCGTCGGCGTAATGGCCGACGTGCTGCCCACGCAACGGAGGGCGCCTCCTCGTCCGGAGTGTCACCTCGACACGGACACGGGGATCAGCCCTCCGTGCCTCAGGTTGGTGGTGTCGGCTGTAGAGCCTTTGTGGTGAGCCTTCGGAACGTCCGTTGGCCCCCAAGGTTCCGGCCCACCATCGCCGAAAAATATGATGGGAGCGTCAACCCCGCCGAGTTTCTCCAGGTCTACACGACCGGGATCGAGGCCGCCGGGGGTGACGACAGGGTCATGGCGAATTTCTTCCCCATGGCCCTGAAGGGACAGGCACGGGGTTGGCTAATGGACTTGCCACCCGCGTCCGTCTACTCTTGGGAGGATTTGTGCCAACAGTTCACCATGAACTTTCAAGGCACATATCCGCGCCCAGGTGAAGAAGCGGACTTACACGCAGTACAGCGAAGGGATGATGAGTCACTTCGCTCATACATTCAGCGGTTCTGTCAAGTCCGCAACACCATACCACGCATCCCTGCACACGCGGTGATCTACGCGTTCAGGGGGGGTGTGCGGCACAACCGCATGCTCGAAAAGATCGCCTCCAAAGAGCCCCAGACTACCGCGGAGCTTTTTCAGCTCGCGGACCGAGTGGCTCGTAAGGAAGAGGCATGGACCTGGAACCCCTCCGGTTCCGGTGTGGCAGCTTCGGCCGCCCCCGGATCTGCTGCTCGGACAGGGCGGCGTGACAGGAGGAGGAAGAAGAGGTCAGCCCAGTCCGACGATGAGGGTCATGTCCTCGCCGTCGAGGGCGTTTCGCTGGCCACCCGAAAGGGGAGGCCTGCGAGCGACAAAAAGAAGGAAGCCGACGCTCCCTGACCTCGGCTACTTGGAAGAGCGAAGGTGGCGCGCGGCCCTTCGAGCCGCGCGCTACCAGCAGAGCCTGCGGCGCTACCATCAGCGCCACGTCCGGGCCCGATCACTCTGCGTCGACGACCTCGTCCTACGCCGCGTCCAAACGCGTGCTGGATTGAGCAAGCTCTCACCAATGTGGGAAGGTCCGTATCGAGTGATCGGCGTCCCCCGGCCGGGCTCCGTTCGGCTGGCCACGGGCGACGGCACAGAGCTGCCTAACCCGTGGAACATCGAACACCTTCGTCGCTTCTACCCCTAGTGGGGGTCGGGTGTCAGGTCTTGGGCTCGGGCCAACCCCGCACCCCCCGGGCGTGCAGGGTTGGCCGGGGGCTTATCTTTTTTCTCTTCCGTATTTCAATAAAAGCATTTTCGATTTCCTAAAGGCTGTGTCTGTGCTTTTGTTTCCTTTTGAAGAATCTTGACTTGAAATAGGTCACTCGTGCACAATCCTACCCTCGGGGGCTCGGGTCGGCTAAAATCGCCAAACGGGGCCCAGAACCGAGCCGTGCCCCGGGACGTGGTGAACTCCGGGGGGGAATCGGCAAAAACCCACAATCGGGTCACCCATAACCCTCGGTCACCACGCTCCCGGCCTGGCCAGTCTCGACATGTGGATCTCCCCAGGCACTAGCCTTGACCCGCGCCGTTTGAGGCTGGGACCTGGGCACGAGCCCTTGTTTAAGCCAAGACACAGAAGGACCGTGGCACAGACCATCCTCGTCTCATACACAGAACAAATGAAATTGACACAAAAATTTCCTCTTTATTTGATTGCAGATTAAATCAGCCTATAACAAGAAGGGGGCCCGAAGACCTCGGAAGAAGAAGGAAAAGCTATTAAGATTGGCGGAGGCCTGGGGGCTCACTCCGACGTGCCCGGGTAGCCGGCCTCGCCATCGCTGTCGTCCGCACCGTCGTCACCGCACTCCTTGTCGGAGTTGAAGGCAAACGCGAAGCCGAGGAGCCGCTCATTATTGTCGGTCGGTTTTCCCTTGCTCATGCGCGCGATTTGCGACCGCCGGGATTCTGCCCGAAGAGAGAGAGAGCAGGGAGGAGAGGCCCCCGAGCCGAACGGCGGCCCAAGGCCCCCGACGGCCGGAGCTGGCCCTCCGCCTGCTTGTCCGACGGTGCCAGGCACCCCCGACCCCCAGGGTGGCCCCGAGGCCACTGCGGGAAGGCCGCGCCTGTCGCCCTCTGACCCCGAGGTCGTCGGCACAGAAGCCGAGTGCGCCCCGCGTGGCCTCTCGGATGGAGAGCGCCCTGGAGATGTGGCCCCTGACGAAGAAGATCGGCCCCGCCGAAAGGTGCAGCGGCCCGTCTACTTCGTTAGCGAGGTCCTCCGGGACGCCAAAACCCGATACCCTCAGGCCCAGAAGATGCTATACGCTATTCTGATGGCTCCGAGAAAAGCGCCATCACCATATCTCCAGGCAAAACGAACCGGCTCGTCCCGATTCGCGTGCTACTCGAGTAATGTGGCAGTCTTGAAGAGACCGCTCATTATTGGCAGCCGAGTAACCATTGCCGATGTGCGTGATTTGCGATCGTTGGGTTTCTGCCCAACTGTGGAGACCGGTCCCACCTGTCACCAGGCCTTAAGAAGTGGCGTCACGCCCGACCGCTTCCCTCGAGGAGGGCGATCGCCCTGGCATAACGCCGGGGGCTACTGTCGGTGACATGGGACCGGGAGTATCATGACTTAGAGACTTGAGGCAGACACGATCACCCACGTGGCCTAACCCCCTTGGGGGGTCGGGCCCGAGGGTGATACGGCCGCCCTTCTCTTTGTCTCCCCGAGGGGTCGGACCGCTCCCGTCTCGGCCCCGAGGGCCGAGGCGCCCCGACCCCTTGTGGATTTTGCGCCGCGTGTATGGGTTAGGTGAGTGCAGCGGCGCTCACCTAACCGCATTTATTGCGGTTTGGACGAGCGCGTCACGCCGCATGTAACGCAGTGCAGCGCGCTCGTTTATCCGGTCTGTGATCAGTCACAGGCCGGTCAAATCGTGGGTTAGGTGGCGACAGGCGGTCTGACGCACGCCTCGCCCCATCCCGTCAGGACGAGAGCCTCCAAGCACTCGTCCCTAGCCGGAGCCGGCGTGTTACCTCCTGGAGATGGCACGTTGGTTCCGGTCAGATATATGCCAGGCTTCATCCTAACCATTATAAGCGAGACATTGTATGAAGAGGGGCGAACATGCAGATTGATAAACTGACGCGTGGTGGACAAGAATGACCGATTTGTGACCGGTCTGACGCTGGTCATATCGTCAGCAGACAGCCATGTTCCCACGTCGCGCCTGCTTCCGGCGGAAGTGGAGGTAGGTGTGGGCCGTCCCATCAGAAGGTCATTCAGACGGCAACCATACAAATCTCCGTCCATTTATGAAAAGAGAGGATAAGTCCCCACACAAAAAGAGAGAGATGGTGCATGTGGTATCCCCTTGAGGTATAAAAGGAGGACCTTGCCCACTTAGAAGGGGGATGATCTTTTCGGATCCCAGAACAATCGGGGGCTGGCTCGCACTTTGTAGCTTCTTCATACACAGATCCACCAAAACACAGGAGTAGGGTATTACGCTTCTCAGCGGCCCGAACCTGTATACATCGCCCGTGTCTTGTGTGTTTCCACTCTCGCGAACCTTCCACACACAGACCAGGAGCTTAGAACCTCACCCAGGGCCCCCGGCCGAACCGGCAAAGGGGGGCCTGCGCGGTCTCCCGGTGAGGAGCCCCACGCTCCGTCAACTTTACTATCGCCTGGAAGCTCTGCACCATAATCGTGAGGCAAATTTGAATCTCCACCCTCTCGATTGTCCTTGGCACCTTTCTCATCATCTTCTTGTAAGACTATTTCTACCTGTTAAGCATACAATCATGCAAATATGATTAATCGAAACTAATCAAAGCTAATGTATCTTCTGAGTAAGAAAAGGACATCATGCTTTTGTTACATTAATATCTTCTTGAACTGGATCTCTGTTTTCAATACTTGCCTCAGCAACTTTATCATCCTCAGAACTTGAGACCCCTTTAGGTGGAACATTACACAGTTTAGCCTGCATGAGTACAACCATGAAAACAATGATAAGCAAAGTAGTATTATTTATCAAAGTCAAATAACATACAAGAACTAGACTAACCCATAGGAAATCTTTCATAGCTGGTAAAATGATTTCACGATAATCATAAGTGCAGACTTCCAAGAGGTTTTTCTTCAAATTATCAACTTCGGCACCCAATTGCATGATCTCAATATCTATTTTAGCCTGCACATTTTACAGCCAAGCTTAAAAGATTGGTCAGGAAGGTCCAAACACTATCTGAAAGGATATTGAGCAAACAGAAATTCAGGATATAGTAAAAGGAACCTTTTCACCAAAATAAGCTTCATAAGTCTGCGTCGCTGTTAAGCCACGTTTCAGATTAACTTTCTCTATCAATGCAGCGGCCCTTCCATTTAACTTTCCAAGGGCATGAGTTCCCTTATCTAGACAGGCTTGCCTCATGTTGTCCCATGATGTAAATGGGTCTTGTCTTGAAGGTCTAGATAGCCAGCTAAACAGAGCATCTTGATTGCTAGAACCATCAGTAACTCTTAGCACATTCTCATCAGTACCTATAGATAGAACGCAAGCGTCTTGAACAACTCCCCCACCAAAATTCTCACGGCTATCCTGCTCGGCATCACCAACCCTCAATCGAAGCAAATCCAGATAAGTCCCCAGCAACAGAAGCCCTCCAGGGTCCAGAGAAGTAATGCAGCTATAATTTTGGGTAACAGCTTCTTCAATCCGGTTTTTCCTGAATTTGATCAGGTTGTCAAAAAGATCAACAGATAGAGCCTTCTGATCCTTGAGGTACTGAAATGTACTCTTGATCTTGGTCAAGATCTTTTCTCCCTCAGCTTCTTCAGTAGGATTGACATCAGATGGCAGAGTCCAACACTTAATAAACTCTGTCTGTTCATCAGATATCCTCTCCGGCACAAACAACAGCGATTCTTTGAACTCCTGGGACCGGGAGAACTCATCCTCCTCAACATGCAACTGGAAGGTCTTCGCAGTGAGGAAAGTCATTTCGCATTGAGGGCACAGCCAGCAGATCCATTCTCTATTGTCCTTCACAAAGTCCAGTGCACCAGTGAGAGCACTCATCTGACACTCGTCAGACGACTTAGCACAGTAGTATGCTACCATCTCGTCAATACCCACTGTCAGGAAACTGCGGCGCGTCTCCTCGCTCATGCCGTTCCAACGATCTCGGGCCATCGGGATGGCGATCTTCGACAAGGCGTCGACAAGGAGTTGCTTGAGGCGATTCTTAGCAGTGGAGATCCGCGCCTCTTTGCTCGGCTCCAAGTGGCGGGGCTCGAAGACGGCGTGCAGCTGCGGGTCGACGAGATCAGCGTCACCTCGGCCGAGCGCGCGCTGGCACTCCTCCGCCGCCAGATCGAACTGCTCCCTAGCGGCGTACCTCTTGGCGAGGGTGAAGGCGATGCCGAGGTCGCCGGGGGCGAGTTCTATGGCGCGGCGAAGGGAAACGAGCGCCAACGCGTCCTCCCCGACCGCGGCGCGCACGTGGCCCAAGACGTGGTGCGCGAGCGGCGAGAACGGCAAGTCCGCGGTGAGGTCCTCCGCTTGAGAGAGCGTGGAGGCCTTGACTTCACCTCCCTTCCGCGCGGCAGGGAGTGCTCCGGTCACGGCCTTCACCCGCGCGCTGAAGCGGTCGCTGCTCGGCTTGCTCGCGTTCCTGCGCCCCATGGCTGCCGCTGGGCCGGTGGCACGCGGCGACCGAGAGAGGGGGAGCCGGAGAGAGCGGCGAATGGAGGGGGAGGCGGCGCGCGGCGAGGAGGTGGCGGAGCGGAGGTGTACGTGAGGTGTTCGTGAAAATGCCAAGCCCGGAGGAGGGCGTGGGCGGGTTGGGTGGATGGATTGGTTGGCGCGTGACTGCATCTGTGATCTTTGTGGCCGTAGCGGGGACGCGGCGACACAGCGAGCCAAGGAGCGTGCTATTTTATACTCCTACTAGGCGTTAATCTAGTTGTACGAGTGCCCCTAACAAGATCTGTAATTACATGTACATCCTTTATGTTGTTAATCTAGTTATAAATGCAGCTCTCTGTTCTAAATTTGTACTCTCCGGTACAGAAATAGATTATGGACTGTAATCATATTGTACCATCAAAATAGGTAGTAAAAAGTATAATTCCACTGTACTACATTCGTTTCACGATATAAAATGTTTTTAGAGGTGGATATGGTTATTAAGAAAATATGTAGAATTAAGTTAGGGAATATTGTGATTAGTTGAGAAGTGGAGGTATGTTGGAAATGTGCACGGTAGAGGGTTACGATTGGTTAGGAAACGAATGTTGGTGGAGAAATTGTTATATTTTAGGACAAATCCTGAGTGCCAAAAGTTGTTATATTTTGGAACTGAAGGAGTACTAAGACAAACTCAACTAGTATATTAGTAATTGTTTTTGTCCATTATTATTTCGCATATACTGCTAATCTATATAGAAAAATTTTGACTGCATGTCTACGACAAGTGGTCTACTTACAATTTAGACGAAGAGGAATTGTCAAATATCAACTCCATATTAGAGATGTAACTAGCGAGTAAGTAGATTGACCCCGATAATTCCTTACAAGTCACACCTACTAATAAACATCACAAATGAGCTAGGACCATTTGCTGGTGCTATTACGCTCTATATTGAAGAATCCTGGTATTACACACTTTACAATTGCATACTCCATTCATTTTATACTATAAGATGTTTTTGACTTTTTTTTAAAAAAAATCAATCAACTTTAACTTTGACTAAATTTATATAAAATATATCAACTCTTTTTACACCAAACAAATCAAATTATATCAATGCTAAATTTAATAAAACTTGGTGTTGCAAATTTTACTACATTTTTCTAGCAGCATGCTTCAAACTTAAGAAAGTTTATCTTAAAAATAAAAAATCATAATGTCTTATAATATAAAATAAAGGAAGTAGCTTCTAGGTTAATTAAGGACTTGGATATTTTTTATTGATAACAAAAACATAATTTTTAAAAATTCTCACTATGAAACTTTTAAATACCCCGCTAGTTGAGCTCACTATTAGACTTGGCTGAGTTATTTAGTTTACTTTTCTAATTCGTGTCTCCCGTTTTCCGCATGCATATTTTTTAAACTGCTTTATGACGTCTTTTTTTAAAATATTATATACGAAAGTTGCTAAAAAATTATATTAATCTGTTTTTAAAAATAACTAATAATTAATTAATCACTTGTTAATGTATATATCGTTTTGTGTGCCACGACTGGGGAACGGAACTTGGATGTAACGGTTGCTTTTGCCATTGCGATGTGACTGACCGCTGACACCATCAAATAGCTAAGGCATTGTTTAGATTGGTTAAAAACGTCACATCAAATGTTTGGACATATGCATGGAGCCTTAAATATGGGAATAAACCAATTGCACAGTTTACATGTAAATTGCGAGATGAATTTTTTGGGCCTAATTACGCCATGATTTGACAATGTGATGCTACAGTATATATTTGCTAATGACAAATTAATTAGGCTTAATAAATTCGTCTCACAGTTTACGGGCGGAATCTGTAATTTATTTTGTTATTAGTCTATGTTTAATACTTCAAATGTGTGTCCGAGTTCATATGAAAAGTTTAAAATCATATATTCAAATGAAAAAGTGTCAACTACAAAATCATAGATTTCGTCGAGAGCTACAATTTCTATATAAACTTTGTTACAATCTGAGTTCATATGAAAAGTTTAAATTCATATATTCGAAATAAGCACTAATATTGTTAAGGTCATCAGTGTTGGATCATAAGAATACCTGGCACTGGCACTGATGCTGCATCAGTGCCACTGGCACTGATGCTGCATCAGTGCCAGGTATTCTAAAAACCCGACACCGATGTCTTTTCTCGCTAAAAGTGTAGTCATCCCGCTCCAACTAGTAAGACGTACCCGACACTGACGCCGCATCAATGCCAGGTATTCTAAAAACCCAGGACTGATGTTTTTTCCCGTCAAAAGTATAGTCATCCCGCTCTGACTAGCAAGACCCAACAATGATGCGAGAACTTAATTACTTGGTGAGAGGATGTGCTAAGCCTTCCCGCTTTTTAATAGATGGTGTTGTCGATAATTAACATGGATGTTTGATCGTTTGTCATACTAAAAAAATATATAAAAACTATTTATTTTCTTGTGACATATTTTATTATTTAAAAACTTTAAATATGATTTATATTTTTTTAGGGGAAAGCACTGTAGGGGAAGCCCCCACAGTTAAATAGCTTTATTAAAGAATATAAATTACAAAAGATTTAACCAATTCAAAAGGGACGGTCTCTCAGAAACATTTAATCTAAAAACTAAAAGAGAAAGATCACTCTTAAAGAGAGCTTTCCAAGAAGAAATTGAGGGTGCTAAATTCTGGTAAATCAGGGAGTTCCTCTGTTTCCAAATATTCCAGGCTGCATAAAGAATTTTCTCCACAAAATGCGTAGACCTATAAGAATTCATTGTCTGATGCAGCATATATCTGTGAAGGCAAGAGAAATATCCCAGACAATATTCCAAACTGTGCCCAGCAATCAGCACTAAAAGGACATTGAAAAAATAGATGAAAGGTGGTTTCTCTTACACAGGTTGAGCAAAGGACACAAGTTAGATCTGAATTATTGGGAGGGCAATGCCTTCTGTCAAACATGTCATAAGTATTGAGTCGATCAATTAACAAGAGCCACCAAAAACTGTAACCTTCGTAGCGCACTTACTCTTCCAGATCCAAGCTAGATAACTAGGTGCCTGTATATGCATGAAATTGATGTCATATATTTTCTTGGAAGATAACAAACCATTTCCCCAAACATAAGACCAGACATCCTTCTCATTGTTCGATGATATTTTGTACACCTTTTTTTTATTTTATAAGAAATGGGGTGCGTCAAAATATTAATTCCGGAAATGACAGTACAATAGTAAAATTAGTGATTAATTATCACTAATGATACAATCTGGCGTACATGAGAATGTTATATGACATGTGCAGTGCTGTCCAATTAATATACAGGCGCGTATATACTGACGTGTGTGTGTGTATATATATATATATATATATATATATATATATATATACTAGCAAAAGTGCCTGTGTGTTACAATGTGAAGCGTACAGATTAGAAAAATATGCAATTAATTAAAATACAAATTCGCTGAAATATTTGGTATTTTTAAGTAGGTATGTGTATAATTAAATAAATTTACAAGTAAAGCAAGTGTGAGAAATAAAATGACATGGTTAAATTTAATTTTTTTTAAATTCTCCATGATTAGTTACGCTCTTTGAAATTATATTTGAATTTTTCAGAGCTTAATTGTTAATTTTATTAATACAAACGTCATTTAACAATTATTTACTTGGAAAAAGAAAGAAAATACTTCCTTTTAGGTTTGCTTCGAAATAAACACATTCAATAACTTATAATTGTAATGCTTCTGAAAAAATGAGCACTAAAAATGAACTTATTCTCTTTTTTTGGGCCTGAGGGACCTAAAATAGACTTATTTCCGGCCCTTGCCGGTCGGTCCACGGCCTTTTGTGCACGCGCAAGTGCACTTCCCCTCCCCAGGCCACAACCTGGGCTTGGGCCAGAAAAGTGGCCTCACTCTCGATCCCTCTTGGGCTGATTTCGGCCTGGACGACACCGATCGTCCGATCTTTAGGGTTTTGATCGGACGGCCGAGCGTCGATATCGGGGAAACAAAACCCCTCCTTCTCCTCAGCCGCCGAAACCCTAGCCCATTTCCCTCCCTCCCATCTCACATCGCCGCCCTCCCCTCCGCGCCCCCGAGCGGCGGCGACGGCGCCCCTCTTCCCGCGAGCGGCGGCGGCGGCGCCCTCCCCCACAACCAACGGCGCGGCGCCCTCTCCCCGAACAACGGCGGCGTGGAGGCGGCTGCGGCCCGGCGGGAGTGAGAGGGGCGGCGGGCCGGACCTCGCCTCCGCCAGATCTGGCGGCATGGAAGCGGCTGTGGTCCGGCGAGGGCAGGAGAGGCGGCGGCGTCGTCTCTTTCTCTCTCTCTGTGCATGGTGGGGAGGTGCGGCAGTGGTGGTGGTGGCGGACGTCATGGAACGCCGGTCGGGCCTCGCCTCCGCCAGATCCGGCGGTGTGGAGGCAGCTGCAGCCCGGCGGGGGTGGGAGGGGCGGCGGGCCGGACCTCGCCTCCGCCAGATTCGGCGGCATGGAGGCGGCTGCGGTCCGACGGGGGCGGGAGAGGTGGCGGCGTCGTCTCTTTCTCTCTCTGTGAATGGTGTCGGTTCTCCTGGTGATGCTAACCGAATAGGACTTGGTATAACAGATGGGAGTTTGTTTCCTATTTTTGTGGAATCGGACATATTATTTTTTTTTCCCGATGCCCGTGCGTTGCAACGGGTGAAAAAATTCTAATGATAATATACGTTTTTCATAAATAATCATGTCAATGACAATGTTTGTATTTTAATGAGCGGTTTATTTTTTACAAACGGTGTTTTTTTCTTGCGCGATTTTCTCAAACCATTCAGAAATGACGCATTTCTTTCTAAAAGATTTTTGTAACATGATCTTTTTGCTTTTTTATTTACAATGAAAACCATATTTTTCTCCATTTTTTGCTTTTCTTTTCTCGTGTGTTTTTTGCCTTTTTTTGCCAATTATTTTCTCGCGTGTTTTTTTGCTTGTTTTTTTTCAAATGTTATTTTTGTTGCTTTTTTTAAAAACAAGAGAATATAGACGAAATAAAAGCCGTGTAGTAGGTGGCAAAAAATCGATGGATCCTATCCGACTCAGAGCGATTTTTTTAATAGACGGTGTTTTTTTCTTGCGCGGTTTTTTAAAACCATTTGTTAAAATGGCGCGTTTTTTCTGACAGTTTTTTCCTTGCATGTTTTATTTTTTAAAAAAGTTACCGATGATGGAAATAATTT